CCCCCCTCAGGAGCTTAACATCGATAGGTGCATTGTGGACGGCCATTATTTTTTGGAGGGGGGATGGGAAATTAAAAAAAATTGTTTACCAGTGAAAAATAAATTGATTAACAAAAAGTAAGTTTTAGGCTTTATCCTTACGTTTTTCCCCCACTGATATAAGTAATTGACAATGATTGTTAAAGTGGAAGTCAAGTCCGTATGTAAACAAACGGTTTGTTTACATTTTGAACTACTGTATTTTTTAAAATTTGATGCCCTGTCTGAATATCTAACACCATTTTGGTTCGCTATGCTTCTAAATGAATATGAAATAGAGTTTGTGTTCAGAAAAATTCGAAACACTCGAAATTTAGGCAATGTTTACATTAGAGGGTCCTCACATTGTTATGAGCAGAACGGACTTGACTTCCACTTAAATAATTGTTTTATTTTTTGTGCGTTTTTTCCTCCTTTTATTTCAAATACAAGTATACTTTATAGCATAAATTATAGAGCAAATTTAAATGCTCAGAATGGGGGAAATGGTATTTCCAGGCTTCAAATTCCGACCCCATGGCCTTCAGCCATTCCAATCCCCCTCTAATATATTATCTCACCGAAAGGTCCCTTTTCAAAAAATGCCCTCTCCCCACAGGAAAATCCTTAAAAAAGCCCTGACCAGTATACCAAAAAAACTATTAAAGTCTGTTTACTTACTCGAAATTCGAGACCTTATCGCGTGTTTAGTAGCGGTTGCCGTTATTTCAAAGCTAGTTCTGATCGACAAATGGCTTGGTTCGTCACTGGTTAGCCTGTATTTTTTAATTGTGTCAACACTATACGTAGTTAAATTGTATTAACACTCGTCTTCTTTAAGTCTACCCTTGTGCCTCGTGGCCAAAATTGAAGTACAAACAACGCACAAATCTATTCGACATTTAGACATATGACATATCTGAAAGTCTTCGATTCGCAAGGCAATTTATATCGCAAACCACAACAATATTGGCAATATGTCTACCACGCTTGAATTAGACAAAAGCGCATATAAAATATATTTAACTAGATAGCTTTACCCAACACTATTACGTCTATTACACAGTTTATGTTTTATTTATAGAGTATTAAAAATCGGTCTCGACGGCTGCAATCTCTTGGTCTTAAAGTAAAATCATTACTAAGATGCTTTAAAACAATCTAAACGTTTGATAATAACAAACTTACAGCGAAGCCTTACAAATTAAAACAATCTGTATAAACAAAATATCAACATAACACTAGTTAATTATGAGTTATGGTGCCAGTTATGAACTTACTACCATGCATTGAAAAAGTGTTGACAATTAGGGACCGGTCATTATTTATGGTGGGGAGTGGCACCGAAGAGAAATGTTTTTCGTGGCAAAAATTTTGCTGACCCAACCATTAAAAAGACAAAAATTTGATTACCCAACCTCAAATATCAATTAAAAAATAATTACCCACCCTGGCAAAAACGTTACAAAAGGATACCATTCAGTTGTCACACATGTCCTTTACCACTTCTGTGACATGAGTTTGATAGCTGCTTGTGCAATTTTCTGCAGTCTAAAGTTTCATGTTGTCTGCACATGTACTTTCTTTGGAGACACCATTTGTTTTGTCAAAATGATCAAGATAGTGACTCTGATTGATTCATATATTGTATTGACAAATGACTGTTGACATTGCTTTTCAGTCAACAATATTTTGACAGCGAGTCATGTTTTTGAAATAATAAATTTTTATTACCCAACCCTTGAGTTGTTTTGTTTTTCATTTACCCAACCTTTTACTTTCTCAAAATTTTGTTTACCCAACCCTTTTCTCTTCGGTGCCACCCCCCACCATAAATAATGACCGGTCCCTTAACTATATATGACACGACTAACAATATATTACTTTTTAAATAATTTTCTTTGCGTGTTTGATAAATGTGGTTTGTTTACGTAATTCAGTTTCAGGAGTTTTTCTCGAGGGTCGAGGGCGGGAAGCGAGGGTCGAAAAATCATATATAAAACGTCGAGGGTCATATAAAAAAGTCGAGGGTCATCAGTAAAAAGTCCGGGGTCGTATTTCTAAAATATTTTATGGTTTTTACTGTCGAGGGTAAAATTTGCGGGCATTCCCTATAGATAAATTTGCAAGTGGGGCAAGCACGATAGCGAAAACAATACTTTCAAGATGGCGTCGCGAACCCGGAAAAGGCGTATGGCAATGGCAAGGTGTAAACAAGTCCTGATTACTCTGATTCAATAGACCATATAGTGAATAGACAATACAATAATTTGCGACATGCAATCCGAGATAACGCAGATAATGCACCACGCCGTTTGAAACTATCTCGACTGTAGCTTTTGATCGGCATGTCTGTTTTCATGTAGCAATATTTTATCATATAAAAAGTAATCGCATATAAAAAATTAATAATTGCATATAAAAATAAGAGCTAAAAATTAAAAGTAAACTAAATGAACACGAGCTAAAATTATTATTTTGTTAAATTATTAAAATGTATACCCTCAAGCTTTTCACCCTCGAATTTCTACCCTCGACAATAAGAAAAACCATAAAATATTTGTAAAATACGGCCTCCGGCTATTAATATTATATACGACTCGATAAAACACTCCTATACGCATGTTTTAAATAGAACTTTTAATAAAGAACTAGATAGCTTTTATTAGAGATAAAAGAAATATTGTTATGTTGTACAATTTATGATCATTGCATATGTTTTTAGTCACCTGGTGAAGTGGTTACACTGTAGTTCTCCCACTTTTCCAACTTTAATATGCTAAATATCATGCACGCATTAAAGATACCTTCATTGCCGTATATAAGCATACGTTAAGTAGCTTTGCGCTTAGTTAAGGCCCTGTACCCGGAGTGAACGCTCAGGTAGGCGTCTTGTTCAATTTAATTTTAGTCAAAATTCCAGAAACAGGACTACCCCTATAGCAGGGCATTTGACTGTGGTTTCTGCCTGTTCTGGCGAGCATTTGACCAATTATTTTTTCAAAAGTCAAATTCCCCGGGGGGAGGCCTGATCGCCGTGGATTTGACTCCAGTGCTCTCACTTTTAAGGAATTATCCTTAAAAATAGGAATTTTGAAGAGTTTTAAGGATTTTTTTAAGGAATTTAGGTTTTTAAGGATTTTTTTAAGGAATTTCTGAAACATTTTATCTTGGACTAGAAATGTTGGACGGAGGATAACACGCCACGCAAATGAGATTTAAACTTGAAAGTAGCAACATTATACGCACATAATTACATATATTTGTATGTTCTCTATGTCATAAATGTACATATGGCTGTTTTTCCATTAAAATTCTCAAAAGTTAAATATCAGTATATGCAACCTCGTTCCCAGGGCTTTTCCCTTTT